TGATATGAACAAACTTATCTTCCATACTGTAATACCCCAAATTTTTCCCTGAGATTTAGTAGTTTCATTTTCGCATCCCATTTTGTTTTGCATCGCATTTTAGCTAACCGCTGATGGTTTGTGTAGTTGGTTGATTTTTGCAGGAAAAGTCGCATTTGAGCGCTCTTTAACTTACGAAGAGTGAAACGGTCATTTATTTGCAGCCGGCTGTCAATTTATGAATCTGAGTTGTAGTCAGGGAATTTGAACCATTTGAGTTTACTGGTGTGATTTGAGTCCGAGGGGTTAGGTGGAAAGTTTAATCGCGAAAGAATTTGAGCCGTTGAAATTAAATCAATTCAATTTAGTTGGATGAAGTTAATCAAGAAATGTGATCATTTGAGTTTAATCAGACAGATTGGATTTATTCTGATAAGGTTGTTCATTTAAATTGCCGAAAAGATTAATCGGAAGTTGTATCGGAGACGAGAGTAATCGAATAAACGGGATGAATTTTGAATTAATAAAAAAGATATATAGGAGCTTCTTAGTGTTTTCATCTCATTTTAAGGTCAAAAATAACAAAAATAATTTTCATTTCATTTTTAAAATATTTTATTTCATTTTTTGACATTGTTTTCATTTCATTTTCAAATCAATTTTACTTCTTGTTTTCATTTCATTTTTAAATCAAATTGTATTGTATTTTTAAATATTGTTCTCATTCTATTTTTTAATTGATTTTATTTCATTTTTAATGGGTTTTTCATTTCATTTGATATCAAAAGAAAAGTAATAATAATAATAATGTTTTTAGTTTTTACAATATCATAAAATGAAGAATTTTATTAATAAGAATAATTTTTTACAAAAAAAATAATAAATCAATAAAATTACAAAAAAATAAATTACATTTTTCCTTAAAAAATTCCTAATCATCCTAATTGGCTTTGTCCCGATTCCGAGCTTCCGATTTATCTCTTCGGCCCTGCAAAACAACAAACGAACAATTTTATCGATTAGTTTTTCGACACCCTCAGAACACTCTCTTCATCGGGTGCGTCGGGAGGGTACTTTATTGGTTAATTCTATTAGGTTTCCTTGATAAATTAATAATATTGTAATTAATTTTAATTAATTGTGCACTAGCTAATGTTATGGTACTTTATTATACATTTATTGAATTTTATAATTAAGACAAAGTGTTAATACTATATATATATATATATATATATATATATATATATATATATATATATATATATATATATATATATATATATATATATATATATATATATATATATATATATATATATATATATGGGTAATGTTAATTTGTGCCCTTGGGGCACATGTTAAAAACTAAATTAAGAAACATTGTCTTGGAAATTGTGTATAAACTTTAATTAAAATATAAAATTAATTTTTAAATCGTTTTTTCCAATGTAAATTTACTATAAATAGTTTTCTTAACATGTGCCCCAAGGGCACAAGTTAACATTACCCTATATATATATATATATATATATATATATATATATATATATATATATATATATATATATATATATATATATATATATATATATATATATATATATATATATATATATATATATATATATATATATATATATATATATATATATATATGTTATTTTAATATTTTAATAATTTTATAAATATGATGATATTTTACTAAAATTGTTTTAATAAATAATTTTTTATAAGGAAATAAAATAGGTAAGTAGTATAATATATGTGACTTAATTGAAATATCTTTTAGAAATAGAAGGGTGGATACTAAATAAATGGAAAAAAAATCATAATTCATAAATAAAGTAAAGTTAAAAAAAAAAAAAAAAACCCTAATTGTCATCAAAAGTGAATAGTGGGCTACGTGACATACACCGGGATATTCATAATTCATCAACCGCTGCTTGTACACTATAGAAATTAGAAGGAAATTTCTTTTCCGAAGTAATGTCGAAAAAGTTTCTCTGTTTCATCTCAAATTTAAGTATGTTATTTTTCTTAATTAATTTGTTAAGTTTTTATATTCATTTTGTATTTCATCTATTTTTTTAATTCAGTTAAATATATTTACGTAATTTTAATTTGTGCGAAACAAATGTCGACTGTGTAAATACTACAAATATTTTTCATAAACTTAATTTCAATTTTAGGGTAAGTTTCTCTTACGTAATTTTAAAATTGACATATTTTAGTATATTTTAATATTTTATTTTTAATTTATTTATAAATTATCATAAACGAAATGATTGGAGGACGATGAGTCAAGAGAATGAGAATTATGCATGTCGACTCGAATTAATATATAAAAGCATGATAGAGATAAAATCTTACTCGTGAAGACAATTAAATGTGGTTTGAAAACAAAACTCACAAGGTAAAGGCATTTTCCGTTATAACAAAACTAATAGTTAAATATTATAGAATAAATTATATAATACATAATTGTTGTAGAGAGAATTAAAGTTTAGCGTTAGTTCATAAATCACAATATATAATAGTGTGATATATTGTGTTTTGTTTATTTGTGGATGAAGCTTTGTTATGATTATGTGATGTGGATGAATTTTTATTTTGTCGATGATTGTCATTATTATGTGTGATTGTGATGTGAATGGATTACGATTGGAGATGAATGATTATATAGAATAATTTTTAAGATTATGTGTTTGATGATGTGATACTATATGGTCAGGGCCGGTCGTGAGAATTTGGAAGCCCTTGTCCAATTTTAAAAATGGGCTACAATAAAAAGGAAGGTAATTTTTTTTTTTGTAAAAGGAAGGTCATTTGCATTGACTTATTTTAACTTACCTATTAGTATAAGTTATGTGAGACTATTTGTTTAAGATAACTTTTGAAAACAATTTATAACATTGTTCATAAGGTGTTTTCATCTTATTTTCATAAGTTCTCCAAAATAACCAATTTTTATTTATGTATTTTAATTCAAAGTACAAAATATAATATAAAGATGATAAAAAAAAATATTCATATTTATTTAAATAGGCCGGCCTTTTAGGCTTAAAAAGCTTTTTTAACTAAATAGGCTTATAAAAATGTATAGGTCTTTTCTATTTAAAAAAAGGGTTTGGCATAGTCTGAGTCTATTTAGGCAAGGTCATAGGCCCTTGTTATCGGTCTGACCTATTTCTACCCCTAGTTGTGGGCCTGCTTGCTCGGGTCCAAGGTCGGCCTTGTATATGGTTGTATGATTGCCTAAGTCGCGGGATTTGCATTTGCATCATCATTTCATGGCATATGCATTGTTTGCCTTAGCGGTGGGTTGCCTTTGTGGTGGGTTATTTCCCTATTGATATAGGATAAATTCTGTGTGGTGCCTTACTGGCGAGCTGATTATATCCGGATCATTTAGATTTAGGAGCATACATATTCACACATGAAGATATTTGTGAATAAGGATTTTTGTGGATTTGATTTCTCTTAAGCTGTTATTTTTTGTATGATTTGTTTTATAATATCTCACTATATGTTATGTTTGATTTGATATGGATGGTAGAAGATTGACCCTTTATAACCAACATTTAGGTATGAATTTGAAGATGTGAAGTGAAAATGGTGTGATGTATTACGTGACTGCGGGGAGAAAATTGAGTTTACCAAACTCACTTGATTTATTTTAAATTACATATATTTCTAAACTTATAATTATAATTTATATATAGAAAATAAATTGTAGCATTTTTTAAAAGTAAATATAGTTTTTAAGTAATGTCTTGGAGTAAACTCTAGGGCGTTACAGTATCCTCATCCCAACAAATAAACTCACCCACCAAACCAGAGATAAACTTAAAGAATATCGACAACATGTCAGTTATCAAATTAGCGAAGAATCCAATAGCACATGGGCGAAGCAAACACATCGAAATGAAGTTTCATTATATTCGCGAGCAGATAGCAAAAGGGAAGATGAATTTGGAACACTGCAAAATTAAGAATCAGATTGCAAATATCATGACGAAGGGGGTGCAGGTCAATGTTTTCAGAAGACTAAGAGCCATGATGAATATAGATAGTTTAGACACAATGGATTAGGTAGTGTGTTGAGAATGTAATTCTTTGTGTCGAAATATCTATGTGTTGAGTTTTATTAGTGTCTCGAAGTATCGAAGCAGGTTGCTTCACGCAGGATTTCGACTTAGACCTATTTTAGTAATGTTAACTATTTTAAGTTTTTATAGTTTTGAGTTTTGAGTTAGAGTGCAAGTTAACCTCAACCTATTTAAGGAGTAACCCTTATTTTGTAAACAACTCATAGCATTGTATTCACATAATTTGCAGTTGCAAATGAATAAGCGAATTTTCACAGTTTGTGGGCAAAGAGAAACTCTGCAGAATTTTTTATCTTCTTCCCCAACGTTATTTTTCTTTGTTTCTCAATCTTTTCATTGTTATTGCGTGATTGATAACAATCTTGTTCATCAAGATTGAGTTAAATTATTCATAGATTGTGGTTGAATTTCAACATTTTTTATGTGTTTAAATATTTATTTAAGTTAGTAGTTTCAAAGTTGATGTAGAAATTAATATTTATGTTTTTTTAATTAAGCAATCTAAATAATATAAATAATAAATAAAATTAAAAATTTCATAATAGAAAAATAAAATGGTATATTTTTTGTTCCAAAATTGCACATTTAAATATAAAAAATAAATAATTTAACAATTTCACAAAAATTAAATTGAATGCGCGTAGCTTTTAGTAGTTGTAATTCTTATCCTACGTATCAGGGGTTCTTAAAGACGAGTAACAATTATCGCACAAAAAATATTACAAGTGTCGTAAGACATTTTATTTCAAAAGATATTATTTTCCACATTATGAAAGGTCAAAAATGTGGAAACTTCTGCTAATTTGCCTTGGGAAATTTCAAAGAAACCAGTATGAGTATTTGTATTTAATTTAATTAACTAGTATTAAATTCACTTAGCTATAGCTGTAACCACACAATCAGAAATCAGAAATGGCGCCAAGTAGCGAAACCGATGATGGAAATGATATCGTTTCATCGGATCCACTAACAACCACCACCAAGAGGCAGCGTTTGAACCCCTCCACCGGAACCCTAACTTCGCCGTCATCATCTTCCGAAGATCCCGTTCACGCGACGCCACTTCCCACTCTTCCATTCGAGATTGTGGTAGAAATTCTCTCTAGGCTTCCCGTGAAGTTCCTCATGCAACTCCAATCCGTCTGTAAGTCCTGGAAATCTCTGATCTCCGATCCCGAATTCGCCAAGAAGCACCTTCGCGTGTCAACAACGCGCCACCATCTTCTCTTAACCTTCGCTAACCCCTCTCGCGAGTTCGTCGTCGCGACTTATCCTCTCTCCTCCATCTTCACCGAAGTCACCGCCACCGTCACGCGACTAGAGTACCCTCTGAACAATCGAAACCGTTTTGCTCAAATTGTTGACTCTTGCCACGGCATCCTCTGTTTCGCACTCGATCAACGTTTCGCTCTATTGTGGAACCCTTCCATCAAGAAATTTACGAAATTGCCCTCTTTGGATAATCCAAAACGAGAGGGGAGTTACACGATATATGGGTTTGGCTATACTCATTTCAGTGACAGTTACAAAGTGGTTGCTGTTTCTTGCTATGAATCTGATGGCAGTTACAAAACTCAAGTGAAGGTTCTTACATTGGGTACCAATGCTTGGAGAAGGATTCAGGATTTCCCTTCGGGTGTCCCTTTCGATGACTCGGGAAAATTCCTTAGTGGAACTGTTAATTGGTTGGCATCTAGAGATTCTTATTCTTCATGGGTCATTGTTTCTCTTGATTTGGAGAACGAATCTTACCGAGAATTGTTGCAGCCTGATTATGGAGGGGTAACCGTGGTTACTTTATCTTTAGGGGTATTGAGGGATTGCTTGTGCATACTTTCTCATACTGATACTTTTTCAGATATTTGGCTTATGAACGAGTATGGAAATAAAGATTCTTGGACTAAATTGTTCCGTGTTCCTTACACGGGAGATGTTGGGGATTGTCCTTATACCAAGGCACTTTATGTTTCTGAGGATGATAAGGTACTGCTGGAGGATCAGCCTGGGTTGGTTGTTTACAATGGGAGAGATGGTACTTTTGAAACTCCTGAAATTCAAGATATCAATGGTTGGATGGTTTCTGAAATCTATCAAGAGAGTTTGATATCACCTTGTATCTAGGTAATGTGTGTTATGTTATGTCACTTGTTTCTGAGGTTTATGAAGAACCAATCCACCGGATTCTTCAACTCCTTGACTGCAACTTATATGTTAATTTCTGGTTGTTATATACCTTGTGTTTGCTGATAACTCCTCAAGGATTATTGGGTTTAATATAATTAAGAGTTTTTTGTTGGTTTTTCAATTCTTCATTTCATTACATGCATGACTAGTGGTTTGTTTTTTTTCTTTCTAAGATGATATGTTTTCTCTCTTTCTCACTGATTTTGTTTTGTTATTTTTCTATTGTTTCATCATTGTTCTATATGCTTAGGTTGGATTTAGTTGTTTAATGGTAGTTCTGTTCCAAATTTGAACCCTATCCGAGGAAGTGCTAGGTTCAATAGCCTATAGCCAACACTGTAATTTTATTCAAATGAATATTATTCACATTTATTATTTATCTAATGATATCATAGGAAATATGGACTAGATTCATGGCTTCTGCAAATGTTTGTTGCATTTGTTATAGGTTTTATTTCATCATATAAGTGCACATGTATGCAATATGTTGATTGGAAAGGGCTTATGGGAGAACCTGATATTGATATGTTGGATGTTAATTTTATCACCAGGGTCTGCATTTACGTTAGTTCTCCATACATTCTAACACCACCTTCAAGCTTGAACATGTAAATTATATGCATCGAGCTTATTACAAATAAACATATAAATTATAAGCATTGAGCTGGTTACAAATAAAATCAATCTAACTCTGGTGTAGTTGTTTTTGAAGTATGTGTTGGACATTCTAGAGGAAAGTGTCATGTTACATTATGGAGATTTATTGGTGGAGCTGAACCACCGGGTAAATAACCTTATTTTACTACGACTAATTAGTGAATAGAGGAGACATGGATTTTAAAATTATGTACTACATAAGCACAAATCCATCTCATGTTAGGGGAGGTTAGGATATACCATGGATAAAAGTTTCTCAATTTTGTCTTGTCATTTCCTGTATATATTTTAGTGTTTCAGCCACAAAATTCAAAATTTTTGGGAATGATCTTTTCTAGAGAAGGAAAGATAGAGAACATGTAAATGCAGGAAAAAAATTACTTTTTAAACTCAGGTAAATTACTAATGTATCTAGTTTATTATATAAACTAAATACATTAATTATGTTCTTTTATAAATAGGATAAAAAAGAGTAGTTAATAGCCTTTCTCAAACAAAATTGAATTTCAAGTAATTCTAGTATGGTTGAGAATCTAAAATAAGGGAAAGGATGAAGATGTTTTAAGTTTGTTTATTTCAGAAAACTTTTTCTAAAAACTAACAAATCATAATATAAATAACAGAAAAATCAATAAAAATAACTTTTAGTAAATTAGAAATAATCAGACTTTGATTGTTTAAAAGTAAGAGTTGTGAGTGAAAACTTTTAGTTTCGTTGTCTACTAGTTTTCTTTAACACTGTAAATAGATTGTTTTAATTAACGATCATTGTTAATTAAGTAAAAGAAACACCAGCCTTTAAAACCTTAATTATGATCTAGCTATATGCACGATTTAGGTCTATAATCAAGTTTTTTTCTTTCTATTATATAATAGTGGGGTAGCAAAATAAGGGCAGCCGAAAAATTTGGAAAAAGTAATATTAGGAGAAATTTTAAATAACACATTATAAAAGGATTTAAATTGAAGTAGATTAGTTGAAACTATATTGATGATGAAAATAACATGAGTCACATGGTAAGACTAAAAACAAGAAGGAATCTTAGCATGAAATAAAAGTGCAAGTGCAATATTCACAATGTCTTCATTCTTTCTCTCAACAAATGTAATTTTGTTGAAGAATATTAATATAAATATTTGACTTGATAAATTAGTAAGCTATAAAGACATTAAATTGAGGAAATGTGTTTTCGAACTTACAACAATCACTATGAAATTCTGACCAATAAATCATTGCACACTACACTATAACTAAGTGAAACAAAACATTTAACCAAATTTAAAGTTTGAACTTTTAATTTTATTAAACAAATTCAGCAATATTTATTTTTAAACACGCACGCACGCACACATATAAATTAATATTATAATTTGATCTTATATTTTCATAAAGTATATACTTTCTTCTCTTTTTTTCCCTCTCAAAATCTATGATATGTCTACTAATAAACAAATACATTCAATCATTCATTATCATATTTATAAAAATAATACATTAATAATAAAAACTCAAATATTAAATAATTTAAAAGTAATAAAAAATATTCAATGTAATTAATCAAATTATTCCATTAATAACAAAATGTAAAATGGATTGCGTCGTGAATTTGTTCCGTAAAAATAATGACTAACCTTTTTTATTCTCTCAACTTAAAACACAATTATTTTAGTTTAAATCATAATAATATAAAGGGTAAAAATGAGTTTTTGATAAAATAGTGAGGATACAAATGAAAGAAAAAAATCATAAGCAAGTTATAGGCTCAAATGCAACTTCAAATAGCTTTTGAAAATAAGAAGCTAAAAGCTAGTAAAAAAAACTACAAGTTAAAAGTTAAAAGACAGTTACCAAACAGAGCTTTTTCATTAATGTGAGCTGAAAAACTAAAAGCTATTTTTTGTCTTACCAAACAGACTCAGAATAATTAGTTTGTTTAATGATATATTAAGTGTGACTTAATCGTGAGACTTCATTGAACATAAGAACATTATTCTTAAAGTATACTTAGTCAAGCTTTACTATCAAATAGGACAACAGTAATGCATAGAGATTATTATGTGAGTAGACTGATGAATGTATTTCACAAGTCATGGATATGAGATATCAAGTCTTCGCGTAGGTATAAATATTAGGAGTAATATTTATACTGGATTGAACCGCTATGAGAACACTACATAGAAAGTTATGCAAAGTGCCATAAGTTATTTTCATTGTGATAGTGTTGTATATCACCCTTCTACCTGAAATCACTATGGACCCTAGATGTGGAGTCGAGTACTTTATTGCTGATCAAACGTTGTCCGTAATTAATAACCGTAAAGACAGTTGATGGATACTCCGCAAAGCATGCTGAGGGACATGAGTGACCTAGATAGAATTTGCCCATCCTGCGTAACAAGATAAATGTCTAAGGGTCCAATATTAAACTTGAAAAGGGTAATACAGTCTATGTCTTGTGTTCAATATAGACATAAGGGCAAAAGGATGATTGTACACATGATAATTATCATAGAAATGTTATGTCTGATCATATGACATTTTCGTTACTTGGGTAACACTGATGTGTTGTTAGATACCACTCACCGTTTATAATATTAAATACATGATTCAGTATTATTGTCAACGTAAAGAGAACCTACATGGTTACACGCATAAAGTATTGACACTATGTACTAATATGAGCAGTCTCTCCATAGTTGAAACAAACCACAACAACACTCTTGCATTCTGTAGCTCGATGTCCTGCCTTCCCACATTTGAAACATGATATTGCAGTACACTCTAAAGTACGATGACAAAGTACCCCACATTTGAAACACTTGATATGAGTAGGAGAACCTCCCTCACTTTGATTCTTCCCTCCATTATTCCTCTGTTGAAACTTCTATTTACCCCTACCATCTGGAACAACATACAGATTTCCACGGTTCTGATTACCGTTCCTATTATCACTGACACTTTTGGAATGAATGGGTCTTGCACGACTATCTTCATCATAAATATGACACTTGTTAACCAACATAGAGAACTGACGAATTTCCTTATACACACTAAACAGTTTGATCTTTGGGCAAAGTCCACTTTTAAACTTGATGCATTTGGACCCTTCAGCTCCTACCCCATTGTAATGAGGCCAAAACCTAGACAGCTCTTCGAATTTGGCAGCATAATTCGCAACAGTCATGTTCCCTTGCTTAAGTTCAAGGAACTCGATCTCCTTCTTGTTGCGCACATCAGACGATAAATATTTCTCCATAGATGCGGCTCTGAACACAACCAAAGTAATCTCAGTACCACTAGCTTCCAATCTCCGTCGTGCATTGTCCCACCAGTATTTTTCCTCCTCTAACAAAATATGAGTACCATAAATAACTTTATGAGCGTCTGCGCAAGCCATCACTCAGAAGATTTTCTCGATCTCTTGCAACCAAAGTTGAGCACCCTCTAGAACATACCTTCCTTTGAAGGTTGGAATATTGTTTCTCTGAAACCTTCTCAGCCCACGGGATTCGACACCTACAACCTGTGGATTTTGCTAAGCTTGCAAGGCATGTCCCATCACTTGGGCCTTAACTGCCAAAGTATCAGGAATTGCGCGATCGTTTCTTCCAGGATCTCTTTATATAACAACAAACAACTATTATAAGAAACATTGCATCAACGACGTTAAAGCACTTGTCACATACTAGGAAACAGATAAAATCACAAAACCAGGGCAGACCGACCGACCTGCTTTAATACCACTATGTAACACCCAAATCTCCGACTCGATATTTAACAAGAAATTTTAAGTAAAATTCCACAATTAGAGTGTTATGCATGCTTCACCATAGCATAAAAACATCAACGCAACAACAAAAAAGGGTGAAAATACACCTTTAACTCAAGCGGCTACTCTTGTATCTGATTTTCTGTATCCCATAGGAGCACAGACGACACAACAACAAAAAAGGGTGAAAATACACCTTACAAATGTTAATGGTAAAAATTAACAGTAGGATGATAAACAAGACAATAATAATTATAATATTCTCACAAAAATATAATCACAATCCAATTTATAATAAAAATTCTAATGCATTAACTCCTACATCAATATGCATGTGGTACCGGATTTTTGAGTCAGAAGTTTGTTACTGATTGCACATGTCTTCGGTTCCTCTCTGAACCATGTCCCTCTCTGGACTTGAGACCGTTATGTTCCTCTCTGAACCTGATCTCACTGGACTGAAGTCCTACCTAACTCCAAAACATATGCATGCATGATCATGTATAGAAA